TTTAATGACCATAAATGAGGTATAACTTGTAAAAACTGCAAGTCACTACATTGTACACCTGTAATTTATATCATATGTGTGTGTGTGTTAGTCCCTCAGTTGTGTCTGACTCTTTGTGACCCCATGGACCCAGCAGGCTCCTCTGTCTATGGAATTTTTCAGGCAAAAATACTGGAGTGGGTTGCCATTCCCATCTCCAGGGGATCTTCCCAACTCAGGGGTTGAACCCGGGTCTCCAGGGTTGCAGGCAGATTCTTTACCGTCTGAGCCACCATGGAAGCCCAGCTTATATCATACTGTACAGCAGTCATTTCTCAATTTTTAAAAAGATCCTCCCAAGTCCTCCGGGTCCAGCTGGACCTGCTCGTCCCGAGCCTCCTTGTTCACACCCACTCTCCTTCCTCTCATTCCTGCCTCTTTGAAAATACCACCTGGTCTCACCCTGGTGTTGTAACTCGGCAACCTCGAATTGGCTAATGACCCTTCAGTTTCCTCAGCTGTATTTGGACTTCTCAGGTGGCAGAGTGGTAAAGAACCTACCTCCCCATGCAGGAGATGCGAGTTCAATCCCTGGGTTGGGAAGATCCCCTGGAGGAGGAAATGACAACCTACTCCAGTACTCTTGCCTGGGAAATCCCATGGACGGAGGAGCCTGGTGGGCTACAGTCCTGGGGCCGCCAAGAGGCAGACGTGACTGAGCGACTGAGCACACGCATGACAGGAACACGTTACCTCCACCCCCTCCACCTTGTTTCATGAGCATTAAACCAGAGGATAAGCATCTACCTCATGCACACCTGGCATGAGTCAGAGCTGGCTAACCTGGTCAGAGTTAGCTGGTTGAGTATTTGGGGGACATCACACATTTGGGGGGACATTTCCATCAATGTAACTACATTCACCCTAACTGACTAGTGACGCCAGAGACACGTGGGTTGCACAGTCATTTTCCCCACGACCCCACTTCCTCCACAAACTCTTCCATGAAACAGTTGCCTTTGAACTGTCCCCTCTCGAGATGCCTCAGTGTATTTTTCCATGAGGCACTGAAATCAGTGTAGCCATTCTTGCCATTAAATGCTCTGAATCAGTTACTGATTAAGAAATGCCTGCTCTGAAGGGAACGCACATGTTCACGTAATTTTGCACTAACAACATCATTTACCCAGAATGAGATGTTCAATGTGCTCTTCAACTCTGCGCTGAGAGCTCGAGGAGGAGAAGGACCGCAGGGACCAGCGACGACGGGTGTCCCCGCAGCCCCTGCCTGCTCGCGTGTCCCGAGCTGGCACTTCCTGTCCTCTACTTGGAGCTCGATCCAGCGGACACAAAGGCTGAGAACTTGGGCAGAGTCGTAGACCTCTCTCCCCTTCGGTGTCCTCACCCACAAATCAAAGTTACGTCTACCTCCAAGTGGGAAGGAGGGGGCGTTAAACCAGACGACCTCCGTAACGTTGACTGAGCTCCTCACACACTGTCAACTTTCAGTAAAGAGGAGAAATCTGTCTATTTAGAGCGCACGTGGCTCAATTCTTTCATCTTTTCTGAAGATCTTACAATCTGTTGTACAGATGAAGATGTCTGATTCCGAGTCCAATCTTTCACTGTTAAATAGATCGACTACCCCTCTATGTTATGCGAGCAGGTGATATTTGTAGACCCTGACATGTTGTTACTAGAGCACACATGCGACTTCCCTGGTGGTCCCCTGGTTAAGAGTCCCCCTGCCAAGGCAGGGGACACAGGTTCGATCCCTGGTGAGGGAAGATTCCACACGCCGTGGAGCAACAACTGAAGCCTGCATGCCCAGCACCAGTGCTCCACAACAAGAGAGCCACTGCGATGAGAAGCCACGCACCGCAACTAGAGAGTAGCCCCTGCCCGCGGCAACTAGAGAAAGCCCACGCAAGGCAAATAAATAAGTCCTAAAAAAAAAGCACGCGTGGAAGAGTTTAAGTATATTTAAGATTAATTTTGAAATATAGCTACTATATTTCATAAATTCACTATCATTCTTAGCTTAAAAGAAAAAATGAAACCCTCCAAATCTCAAAAGTGAATGAAATACTCTCACTGGCTGGCTAATGCAATCTATCCTGTAAAAATATAAATGATCAAAAACAACAGCAAAATATGTTTAAGGATACCATCATCAGAATTCCGGCAACAAGGACAGTTGGCCTTTCTCTGACTGGTGACTGACTGACAATCTCACCACAGTTTCTGAAAAAGTCCCATATGGCAGAGATCTCCCTTTTCCTCAAAATAACAACAGGGAGAAGTAAATCTCGATGAGTGAAATGGGAAAATAGTGCTGAAATCATTCATACATGATGCTAAAAATCCTACCTTGGGGTGGCAACCATAATTTAGTTCTCAATAATTTAGTGCTACCCTGTATCCATAAACCTTCAGAAGAGGTCAAGCTACATGTTTTTGTTCCAAATAAAAACTGTATGTATTTGGGGCCTATACCACAAAATGATATATAGAATAATTGCTATAGTCAAGCTAATTTACACATCTTCTCCCCACACAGTTACATTTTGCTGTTGTTTTTGAGACAAGCACCCAAAATCTACTCTCTTAGCAAACTTACAGTGTTCAAGATGATGATATTAACTGTGGTCTTTACACTGGACATCGGGTCTCTAGATTGATTCCATCTACATGACTTCACCTTTGAACTCTGACCAACATATATCTCCCCAACTTCCCACTTCCCCGCCCTAGTAACCACTGTTCTACCTGTTTTCTTCTTTTAAAGAAAAGCCTTTCTCACTCACAGTGGTTATTTTAAGACAATTGAGTATCCACATGTCAGTTCTAAAGACAGAAAAATACAAACTTTCATACAAAGTGTCTTTTCTTTTCATATAAGGAAGACAGTTCTAATAAATCTTATTGAATCAAGACCTTGAAAGAAGCAGAAAAATCTGTACAGATCTCAAATACACCCATGAAAAATAAATTACCTTGCTGCTGCTTCATAACACAGTATTATCATGTTTTCACTTCCCTGGGGTACAGCTGGCTTACACTGCTGGGTCAGTTTCAGGTGCACCTGTTTTCAGCTGACTGTTCTTTGACAGAGATCAGAATACCTGACTTGGAATCCAAACTACAAAATCTCGCCACCCGAGGCAGGGTGGGGAAGCATGTCGGTTTCTGGCCCAGGTGGTTCAGGCCATGTGTCCAAGAGCTCACCCCTAAGACCCTTGCCATCCCCTGCTCCAGCTGCATGGCTCACCAGAGTGGACGAGACCCTGAAGACATGCAAACAGCTTTTAACAGCTTTCACCAGCAAATGAGAGCTTGAGTGACGAATGGGGTCTTTAACAAGTGGGTATTTAAGGAGAGATTTTGCTGACTGACACTCTGTGAGGCTCATTCCTACGCACAGACTTGTTCTTGAGCTTAGCTACACCTAAAGAGAAAGGTAAAACTAACACATGGAAGTGTGTCTCACCTCCGGACCATTTGGTATTCCTATATACTACTGTAAGCTGTTCCTTTATAATACGGATTCCTTAATAAGCACCGTATCACATGGTATATGATGTGCTCCGCTGGAGGTCTGTTTGGGATAAAACTTGAGAGAAGCCAGACAGGAAACACACAGTCCCGAATTTTTCCCTTCCCGAGTCTATCTAAAAATGTCATCGTTAGTCACTTTGCATCAAAAGCACAGGCCTACCCTGGTGGTCCAGTGGTAAAGAATCCCCCTGCTGATGCAGGGGACACAGGTTTGAGCCCTGGTCTGGGAAGAACCTGCATGCCACAGGACAACCAGGCCTGTGCATCGCAGTGACTGAGCCAGCGCGCCAGGGTCCACGAGCCACAAGAGAAACCACCGCAAGGCGGACCCGGCACCCCGCAACAAGAGTACCCCCGGCTTGCCACAGCTAGAGAAAGCCCACGCGGCCACGAAGATCAGCACAGCCAAAAATAACAGAAGAAAAACTTTTTAAATTTTTTAAAAATAAAGTAAAAGCATAAGCAATAATAATACCTATCAATAATAATAATCCCCCAGCTATCGAGGACCGAGTTCTTTACAGATCTGATCCCTAAGCCATTCAACAAAGAGAATGCAGCTATTCTCTTTATTGACTTACTGACTTTATTCTCTTATTGACTCAATTTGCTGCTTAGGAACCTGAGATTCAGGGAGACTGGGCAGCTAATTCAAGGTTATAAAGGAAGTCAAGGCTTTAAAACTGAGTTCTTCCAAATAAAACACCCCATCCATGTGGGTATTGCTCGCAGGACTCACTCCCTCACTAAGCACTGAACCACAGTCACTGGCAGGAAACACTTAAAGAGCTCATTTGATTCTTCCTGAAATGAAGCTTGCAACTTCTAAAGCATCTTCTCTAGTGAAACTTGGGTGAAGAGAAAACGGGAGCCAGGGCTTGAACCCTGCCCAGGACTCACTAATAAACCCAGATTTGCTGTCACAGAAAGGACTGAATGCGCAGGGCTGAAGCACCTGGAGTCTTGCAAAAGGAAATGGGGCCACGACACAGTGGGTGACTGGCCCCAGGACCCAAACACTGTCCACACCAGCTTCACTGAGGTTCAAGGTCTCATCAAGACAAGGAACCCAAACACTGTCCACACCAGCTTCACTGAGGTTCAAGGTCTCATCAAGACAAGGAACCCAAACACTGTCCACACCAGCTTCATTGAGGTTCAAGGTCTCATCAAGACAAGGAACCCAAACACTGTCCACACCAGCTTCACTGAGGTTCAAGGTCTCATCAAGACAAGGTGAAGCCTGTGCTTTCTCCCATGACATTTGAATTCATGAGACAATAGCTCATTAAGAAAAATGGAATTGATTCACAGTATTATTTCTTTGAAACAAAAATATAGAATCTAGAAATGCAACTGGGAAATGACACAAAAATAGGATAAGGCATTTCACAGTTTCTACATGGTCTTCGTAGAACCAAATACCGGAGGTTGGTGAAAAGGTAAATGAAAACATCACTTACCTGATGCGACCACTCGTATCACCTTCTCCCAGGTTCCGAATGGGAAAGTATGCAGGAAGCAGGAGTAGAAGCCCACGTCCGCCTCAGAGGCATTGTAGAAGGTCAGGGTCATGTCGTTAGAGGCCGCGGTTTGATTTGAGAAGTAGACCCTATCAGTGTAGGCCTCTCTTATGATCCCACGGAACATAGGGTTGAAAATGGCCACGGACTCTCTCTCCATCTTTATCTTGAACCACTCAATCTGGGTTACACTGTCCGCTAATGGATACACACATTCTAGGCTCATATTCTTAGCAAGCTTAACAGTCGTGTCCCAAGAAATCTCTTCACATGGCGCTGAAAGACACGTCATCATGTGAATTCAATTAGACTGAAACACCAGAGAGATATCAGAAGCTTATTGTAGACCTAGGAAGATAGTATTATAAATATTAATAAATAAATTGGAGTCAGGGTAAAGGCTGGCAGTTTCTACCTAAAAAGGTTTCCACTACAAATTATCGGCATTCGCAACTTGTAGTTTTTCTGAACATGTGAGAAGTTATCTAGACCAACCCAGAACGTCATAAATTCTGAACGTGTCACAGTATAAGACTTGAAAAAGGAGTAAATTCTTTAAATGAAGACATTATCGTTACCTGTGTACACATAAAGAATTGCCAGGAGGAGGGTGAGGTGATCCATCTCTGGAAGCCGTCTGGGAGGCCGGTCTCTAGAAGGACAATTTATAATGTCACATGCAGAGCCCTGGCACCAGGCACTGCTTCCTTCCTCTCAGATTCTATCAGCAGCGTCTTCTTTATCTGAAGTGTGAACACAGGAAAAAAGGTCTGAGCTTCAAAGTCAGCCTCGCTCGCGCGCAAGGATGGGTAGATTTGAAATTACTTCTCTCTCTCAGGGAAATGGCTTATTTTCAAGCTTTTGTTTTCTACAAAAAAATTCATTCATCAAACAAACATGGTCTGAGTGCATGCTCGGTGCCCAGTTCTGCTCTAGGTGATGAGGACGGAGCAATAAATTAAAAAAAAAAAAAAATCCTTACCAGCATGGACCTTAACCTCTAGTGGGAGGAGACAGAAAATAAAATAAGGAAGTACGGGGTGTAGGGAGGTGGTGAGTGTATGAAGGAAAACACAGCGGGGCAGTGGATGGGGAAGAGGGGCTGGTGCTCCCCCTGGAAGCAGGGCCGGGGAGTCTACAGAGAACAGGAGTGGGGAGCAGAGTCTGCCTGGAGCGGGGAGGGGCCTGAACTCCACCCGAGTGAGCAGCCCGTGGTCACGGCCAGCCCGTCAGCTCTGCCTCTTTGCTGACCTCAGGCATGTGCTCTGGGGCTAAATTAATGGACTGCGGAAGGCCCTTCAGATACCAGAGTATCGTGGCTCTGGTCATATATAAATCCACCGTTGTTGGTTTTTTATTAAACTTAACTTTTTATTTGGAAATAACTGTAAAGTCATGGGAATTTGCAGAAAAAGTACAGAGTGTCTGTGTACCCTTCACCCAATTTCTCCTGATGCTTCCGTCTTGCACGATCCAAGTAGGTGCATCATTCCTCTCTTCCTTCTCTTGTAGAAGAGCAATCATCAGTTTCCTAAGAACTTGCTGGGAACATACTACCATGTCAGCAGGAAAATATACTTTTGCCCCTGCAACAAGAGACAATAAAGAAGAATCCACCTGACCCCTGATGAAGCGGTTGAAATAAAAGGTGGGTAAAAAATGGAGAAAATGGGGAGCCGGAACCATTAAAGGCGCCTTTGCCTGATGCTGACTCTGAGCCTATGTGATTCCATCCAAAGTTCTCCTTCACATCAGTATCTAATGTGGGAACTTCAAGTGTGACATCAGAAATGTAATGATAGGGTTTCCCTGGTGGCTCAGGGGTAAAGAGTCGGCCAATGCAGGAGACACAGGTTCAATCCCTGGTCTGGGAAGATCCCACACATGGCAGGGCAAGTAGGCCCGTGCGCCACCACCACTGAGCCTGAACTCTGGAGCCGGCTCCCTGGTAGTCCGGTGGCTAGCACTGGACGCGTTCACCAATGAGGCCCAGGTTCAATCCCTGGTCGGGGAACTAAGATTCCACAGACACGGCCAAAGAAAACTGGGAACGATATCATTAAAAAGACAGAGAGAAATGGAAAGAGGAGATAAAGGTGCATAACATTGGGCATTTTCAGGAAATGATGAGACTACAGTCTAGGGGGGTGGGAAGGGACACAAATGAAGTTGGGTCTGGGTCCAAAGGGTCTCAAATGACATCCAGAGAGGAGGTCAGACTTGGCAGCTATTTCACCACTGCTGTTCCAGTGCCAAGCACTATTCTTGGGACGTGTGTCCCATGGCCTGGAGGATCCCAGCTCCAGGAGGAAATGTAAAAAATCACTGCAGCTGGAGCCACTGAGGGGAGATGGAGACAGAAAATGACAAGACATCAGACTGTGCAGAAAGACAGGATGAGGCTGTTTGACCTTGAAGACCTTCTGATATTAGGAACAAGTGGAAGCTGTTTGAGGCACTTAAGACACCAAAATTACATGGTCTGCTTTAAATTCTTAGAAAGAGAACCGAGCATCACCCATCTTCCTCGCCGCACTCCTAACAAAAACCTGTTCCAGTTTGGGCATTGGCTTCTCCCACACCACTGGGATATCATGACAGATCAGAGCCATTCCTCTGAGAATTATGATAGATTTGGGGGCTAGAGGTGAAGAAGCCTAGTGGGGCCTGAGTAGACCCAAGAAGAATCAAGGAAATGATCTACACTTCACATCAGAAAGACCCTCAGGGAACCTCCTCGCCCTGGGAGTGAGGACTGGGGAATGCAGGAGGCTGACCGGGAAAGGGGTGTGCGTAAACAACAACTTGTAGTAACCCCTTCATTCCCAAGGCATCTGCAGCCAACTTACTAACAGGTGAAGAGAGCAGAGGGCACTTGCTTTCTGAAGCGTCTAAACCAAGGGGCCTAGAGGTCACAGATGTGAATTAAAGGTGCAGAAATACACGGGGCTGGAGATAAGGGTCAGCTGCGACACCTTTGCTAGGGATGAGCCCTACTGATCAACATCTAGCTGAAGACAAACAGAAACTGCGCAGGATCTATTTTGTGCTGTGCAGGCAGCCTTTTTTTTTTTTTTTTTTTTTTTGCATGATTTATGAAGGGATTTGGGCTTGAGGATTTTTCCTAATAGAGCCATGTGTAAAAGAGCCCATTCTCGAGGATGGCATTAATCAAGACATTCCTTGACTTCTCTACAGTTGACTGCATTTCTGCAAACCAGAGAAGTGTGACTTCATCACGCTGGGCTGATGCCCGCCAGGTGTCCTGGGCTGGGCGTCCCCCCTTGGCCGTCCTCACAGACCACCCCCCCACCTCCTCAGCCACACTGCTCTGCCCTCTGTGAGACGTTCTGCTTTTCCAAGTGCCGGTGAGACTGGGAGGATCCTGCTCTCTCCTCTGTTCCCCAAGTCCGCCTTCCCGGGCTCCTGCAGAGATTCGTGGTGCGTCTGGGAGCCCACCCCTGCTCCCACCTCCTCCTCCGCGGTCTGGACAACGACCCGCATGCCCTGGAGCCGAGGACCGTGAGACAGAAAGCCTGGGCTAAGCCCTGAGAACAAGGCAGCGGGGTGGGCGGGTCAGGACCGCGTGCGCTCCGTCCTCTCCCCGGTTTTCAGAGTCAGAGCTGACGGGCCTGTGGCCGGGGTCCTGGCTGCTCAAGAGGCTCCTGATCACAGCCGCTCGGGGGAGCAGCAGGGTCCAGGGGCTGCTCCTGCTTCACCGAGTCTCCTTAAAAGAACCTTTCCCACCAGGGCCCGGTGGCCAGTCACAGACCTCCCCCTGACAGGTTCTGCTGCCTCTGAGGGGCCACGGAAACTCGCTTCCGTTCAAGGCAGAGACTTTGCTTTGGGATCCTCTGGAACAAGCCAGCCCTCTCTCCCACCTCTGGAGACAGCTCAGCGGGAACTCAAGACACTCCCGTCTGGCTGTTTCATGCCATCTGAGGAGCTGCATCAGACACCACGCGGCCTCCAGAGACCAGAGTGTTAACTCTCCAGACCTTCGCAGAAGTTTGCCAGCCCTTGCCTAGGGTTATTTACACCTGGAGATCAAACCTTTATGACTAAGATATCCTTGTTCAGGCTTTCTTGATGGCAGGTAGGTACTAAGTTAAGCCAGAGGGCTTCCCTGGGGGCTCAGTTGATAAAGAATCCGCCTGCAAAGCAGGACACCAGGGTTTGATCCCTGAGTGGGGAAGATCCCCTGGACAAGGAAATGGCAACCCACCCCAGCATTCTTGCCTGGAGGATGCCCCTGGACAGAGGAGCCTGGTGGGCTATAGTCCATAGGGTCGCAAAGAGCTGGACATGACTGAGCAACAAAACCACCATCACCAGGTTAAGCCAGGTAGCCCAACGCTGGTAAAAAGGCCCAGTTTTCTTATTCTCAAGATCCAAACTATCGGATCTCCCCAGGAAGACAGAAAAAGGACTCTGAGCGACGCCCTTTTACTGAACTACGCCCGTCATTAAACTCACATGTTCGTGGAAATGGTCGTCCTGGAGTCAGTCACAGCTCTTCCCTGCAGCAACCTGCCCACTTTCCCTGCTGGTCATCCTTCTGGATCCACAGCCCCCTCTCCCTGATCAGTATTAAATTTGAAAGTGTGAGCGCGACCACATCCAGCCTTCGTCTGGAAGGTCACCACCAACCCTGAGATGGGAGGGCTCGGCGCGTTCTGCGTCCTCTTCCCGGTGTGCGTCTCGGGTGAGGGCTTCCTGTTTATCGGGGCCTCCTGGCTTCACTCCCTCTTGATGGAGGCCATCTCCCCACCTCGCTCATCCCCTGAGGGGGCAGCTGGGGGGCAGCTGGGGCTTGGTTCGTCCGAGGGCCCCCTGGTCCCACGCCCCCTCCACACCAGGGCTCTCTCAGGTCGGAGCCGAAGTTGAATCACTGATATTTCACCCAGGAGGATTCAAACCAATCAACAAGCAGCCCTGCTTTCCTCCGGGAGCCTCTCTACTGTTTCAGCCACTCAGACCCATTCCCAAGTCACATATACCTCGGCCCCTCTCGTTCCCCCTGGTAAGCTTCTGCAGTTTGAAAGGATGCACTTTCACTGTCAGTGTTCTCACTCTGAACTGAAACTACACGCACAAAAAGAAAAAACCTGAAATTGGTTACTTTGCCTTTTCTTCCCCATTCGTTTTCCTGCCAATCAAAGCACTTCAGAGGCAGAAGTCTCTGAGGCGCAGGAAGCGTATCTCTGCCCAGATCTGAGTGCTGCCTCCCAGATACCCTTCTCGGTTTTGTTTTCTGCCTCTCCGACTCTCTGACACAGAAAGAACATGGGTTGGCGGTTTCCTAAGAACCTTCCCCACAAATCTATCAGCTTCTTTGTTTCAGACACACAGTAGTTTCTAGGTTGTTCCAGAGGACAGCAGAGTTAGTTTTATCCATGCTTTTGATTTAGGAGGGGATGGAGGTTAAACCTAACACACAGGGTTGTGGCTGAGGCTGAGTTCATGCAATTTGTGGAAACACTGGCAAGAAAATGTGGCATCAAACAGAAGAGAAGGCATGACCTGGCCCCAACGTTGAACAGTGGGTCGCAGCCTCAGGCTGGCTCTTCTGCAGACCACGTGGATGTCTGAAAGCGTGCAGAAGACCTTGAAGTGCTACCTTTTATTACATAAGTGTTTTTCGAGCAGGTTGTTGTGGGATAAAGGAAGCTTCCCAAAGCACCTGCCTGACTCTTGTCCTCCCTTCAATGCCTCACCATCCTCAAAAAGAAGATCCAACTTCTCACTGACTTACAAGGCCAGACACACTTGAACTTGGCCGGTTTTTTCGAGGTGCATGTCTTACAAATCCGCTCACTCCCTTCCTCCATTCCTGACCCTCCTAACGGCTGATAATTTGGGGAACATACTCTGAAGGGCAGAGGTTACTTTGCTGTGACTCCGCTTGCTCTTCCAACCAGCAGTTCTCAGCTTCACGTCTGTTCTAGAGTTCTCTCTCTGAGTGCATCCCCCAAGACAGAGAGGCATTCTTCCTTTGAACTTCCTGAGAATCCTAGGCACATCCTGACCTAAACACATACCACATCCTTTGCAATGGCCCATTTATCTGCTGCATTTCTTATGATACCTAAATAAACCCCTTCAAGGTGAGAATGCGCTCTCGTCCAACGCCGTATCCACAGGGCCTGGAGCAGTGCCCAGCACGTGGTGGGTGTCCCATCAAAACGTGTAGCGGGTGGGTGAAGTGATGACTTCTGTTAGATTTCACAACACGTGATCAACTACAATCTGGAATCTGTTCCGATTCCAAGGTGTGATTTTGTTTTCTTTTGTCTCATCTTTCTATTTCTCCAACGAATAAGACAAAAAAAAAGAAGAAGCCTCAGTCCAAAATGCACACTGATCTTTCAGGACCAACCCAAAGACAAACTTTGCAGGCTGGGGCCAACCCTTTCTCAAAATGACACAATAGGCCCTGAACTGAACCTCAAACAGTGCCCGGAACCATCCCCATCTACCCAGATGATTCACGTCGCGCCGACTATCAGAGCCTGCTGTAACGGTAGGTGCTATTTATCTACATCTCTTAGGTCTTAGGCTTGAAAATTCATTCTTCCACACAAAATCCAGATTCACACAGGTTAGGGGCTTTTCCACAATTACTCTTCTATATTCACTTCCTAAGTTTTCGTCCACCTGCAAACACATGCCTTGTCATCATCACCCATATCATAGTACATTTATTGTTGTTACTAAGGAAGAAGGCACGGAGGCAGTTTCTATTGCTTCTCTGTAGGATCCTCTTTGGCTGCTTCTTGCAGCTTTCGGAATCTAGTGAGAACCTAACCATCAGCTTTGCATCTGCTCCTACGGGGACATTGGCATCTTAATGTCTTGGCCCCAGGAAATGTTCTCCCCAGCAAGGTCTTACTCAGCAAGTGGGGGAAATGTTAAAAGAGCACACAATCAATAATGAATCCAAAACAGACAATAACAGCACCCTGCACAAATGAAACTGCCTGACGCCTCCAGACAATGGTAGTTCTAAGTGGTCACCCGGCACGGTGCTGTCAGGACGAGGAAGAGCCGCGGGCCAGGATGAATGGTATCTGCCACTCGGAGAGATGAGCAAAAGCCCTCCCTCCAGTGGTTTCACTGATTCTTATTAAGGACTTCCTCAACAGTTTAAAAGTCAAAAGACTCCTTGACGTTAGCATTTGTTGACAGAAGTAGAAGGCACAGCTAAAATCCTCACATCTCTGCACAGCATTATCTCACCTGCCACCGCCTTCCTCCTCAAAGGTGGTCAGGGCGCCGACTTGTTGTTCTAACAAGTGATAAGTTCTAACAAATGCCTTTGCTATACAAATTGCATTTCAGAGTGACCTACATTTCTCTCTGAAGAAAAATTCAGCTACTGAGTGGAAAAAAACAATAACAGATCTTTTCAAATCACTGCTTTTCAACACCTACTAAAGTAATAGCTTGAGACAATTGTTGCTAGATGCTAAACCCATTAGGCAAAAGGTGAGTGGGTGTTTTCTAATGACATATACTCTTGACTGACAACACTTGAGCCCTCTGATCAACCCTAACTAGTCCACTTAAACTAAAACAGTCCACCCAGACAGGAAGGGACTCCTGACGTGAGGTAGCAAAAGGAACACAGCGCAACTCGGGAATAGCTCCCACCAGTGACAGAACCTGCATCTGGACCAGCCTCTAGTGTCTGGGGATTTGGGTACTAGAAGGATGGGACCCTGAGGAAGCAAGGAACTGAACACAGAAAGCAAGAGATACCACAGGACAAATGTCTTGGGTTCTCAACAAATAATGAAAATTATGGTTAACATAAGAAAACGCCATTTAATCCAGCAAATGCCCAAAAGGCACATCTTTTCCTGATAAAAACTCAGAATGATTTTGGAATCCGATTAGCATAATAAAGAAAACTGATTAGAAACACATAGCGAGCGAACTTGGTGGTAAGACCCTAGAAGGATCAGAATTAAATTCCTAAGATGAGGATGACTACTATCAAATGCCACTATTTGGCAGTGCTCCGGAAGCTTTCACTGATGTTCTAAGTTTTTAAAAAAAGAATAAAAAATTGTAAATGTTGAATTGTTTTAAATATACTATTATTTGCAGATGATCAAAAAAGTATGTGGAGAACACCACAGAAATCAAACAAAAAAAGGAACTGAGAAAAGAATAAATGGTATGTCTAGCAAAATTATTTCATAAGGCTCAACAGCTTTACTTTATATCATATCAAAAGAGCAGCAAAATGAACACATATATATGCAAGTCTATGCATATACATATGTATGCATGAATATATATGAATGTTGCTCAAGAATATGTAGTAATTATACAAAATCTGTGAATTCTACTGAAGGAAATAACATAAGTCTTGAATAAAGGTACCATGCTATGTTCCTCCATGGCAAGAACCAATCTTGGGAAAACGTATCAGAAATGTTTCAATTTACCTGGAATTTTAAAATCTTTTATATTCTTGAGCAGGTTGGGCTGGGAGAGACTGACTGTGAAAACCTCACTGACTCATGAGATGGCGAAGGCCATGGGAGGCAGTCGGGGTTCTTTTCATCAGCACTCGCTGTGGTTGGTGTGTATGAATGTTCATAGAACACACATTTCTCAATGAGTAACAGCTCTGTTTAAAGGCCTAAGAGCAAAGTGCACTTTTAATAAGAAGAAAAATGGAGTAAGGTCATCGTGCACTACCAGATGTTAAAATGCAAGATAAAGCGACAAGGTGAAAAGGAGAATTCAGAGGCAGACCCGAAGAACTAGAGATGTCCAGGGGTCGAGATTCAGTGCAGCTGTTCAGAAAAGAAGTCATGACCTCCTCCACAGGCAGCTCCTAGCGTCTGTGACACGGGGCTGAGTGTGTGATGCTGGCGGATGCTGCAGCCACGAAGATGTGCTGGGCCTGCCCTCCTTACACCAACACCCTCCTCCCACGTCTGGTGGAGGTGGTGGTGTTATCACTCAGTTGTGAGACCCGTGTCCATGGGCTCGCAGAGAGTCAGACATGACTGAGCGACTTTCACTTCACTTTACTTCACTGGGCCTAAAGGTGCTGCTAACCTGAAAAATGAAGATGGTCTAGTGATCTCATGGGGCCCAGAGAGCAGCTCTGAATAGAAACCAGGATCCCTTCAACAATTGCAAAAGAAATGTCCCGCTCTTGGGACAGGAGGGGGGGTCTGCTACATCCCTTCAGCCAAGAAACAGCAAGGACACCTGTACAGGCATCGCCATTCTGCCTCGGTCAGGCTTGAAGTCATAATAAGCAGCAAACCCTGCAGGAAGCCAGTCTACAACTGTTTCATCAGAGCTCCCTCTGGCTAATGAGGGAGCGAGTGAGAGAAGCAAGCTGGTCTGTGGCCGAAGCTCGGCTCGCATGAGAAGCCCTTCCATCTCCCGCAGAAGGACGTGGGCCAGGCGGAGAGGCCTCGTGCAGAAGGAGAGGGCCCGCCAGCCTGGATGCTCCCAGCACCTGTGGGACATGGAATACCCTCTTACCTCACTAAACGGGCTTTCTCTGTCTTAGGTGAAGGGCTCACCAGCTCTTCAACGCTAACATCTCATTTCCTGTGTCACCCGATGTCTCAGTCGGTCAGGATTGGGTAGATGGTCCACATATGTGTAAAATGTTTTCTCGTAATTGAAAAGTAAAGTGAAAGTGTTAGTCGCTCAGTGGTGTCTGACTCTGCGACCCTATGGACTGTAGTCTGCCGGGCTCCTCTGTCCCTGGGGATTCTCCAGGCTAGAATACTAGAGTGGGTTGCCATGCCCTCCTCCAGGGGAAATCCTCCTAACCTAGGGATTGAACCCATGTCTCCTGCATTGCAGGTGGATTCTTTACCACTGAGCCACCAGGGAAGCCCTCTCTCATAATTAAGTTGCATCCAATGAAGTGTAGTTAGGTTACAGGGAAGATGATTTTTTGGAAATGAGTAGACACTGGCTCTGCAGCTCAGGTTGTCGGCCTCTTTCAAATAAACCCAGAATTAACTGGGGTTTGCTTCCCTGGTGTGGCTCAGCTGGTAAAAGAATCTGCTTGTAATTCAGGAGACCTGGGTTCCGCTCCGGCCGGAAGGCCGCAGGGCTGCAGCCCCACCCGTGGCCTGGACAGCAGCGCATGCGCTCTGCCGGCAGCGGAGCTGGCGGCCCCGGGCGGCTGGTGGCCGGGCCGGTGCCAGGAGGCAGCCGCGGGGGTGTCTTCCAGGCCCCCGGGGGGCGGCCCTGGGGGACTGTGGCCTGTACAGCGGCACGGAGCCGGCTCCTCCCAACTCACCTCATTTACTCTGAGGCCTGTTCCGTGTCCCCTGACCTTTCAAGTTGCTTCCTTTTCGACCTAAGACAGAAGCGTTTTGGAAAGTTATGACTAAGAACCCTGATCCGTGCACTCAGCTTTCACAGCAGCTGACATTTCAAATATATTGATAATTTTAATAGGAAAAATATTCTAAAAATGGGAGAATAAGTTTTACAAGCCTGAGAGTGAGGACAGAGTTTTGGTTTTGAGATTACATACACATACAATATGTATATATGTAAAATATATAAGATACACATATTAAGATATATATATGAGTTTGAGTAAACTCCGGGAGTTGGTGATGGACTGGGAGGCCTGGCATGCTGCGATTCATGGGGTCACAAAGAGTCGGACACGATTGAGTGACTGAACTCAACTCAACTGAATATATATGTATAGGGCTTCCTTGGAGGCTCAGTGGTAGAGAATCCACCTGATAATGCACGAAATGTGGGTTCGATCCCTGGGTGAGGAAGATCCCCTGGAGAAGGAAATGGCAACCCACTCCAGTATTCCTGCCTGGGATAATCCCATGCACAGAGGAGCCTGGCGGGCTATAGTCCATGGGGTCACAAAAGAATCAGATATGACTTGGTGATTAAATAATATATATATTGACAGCGACTAAACAATACACACACACACACACACACATAATGCCAAAGCCATGGAAAATGTGATAGTTTTTCCTATATAAAAGCTTGAAACTCTGACTTGGCAAAAATTACACACTAGTAAAGCCAAAGGTGGGACAATTGGGAGAGGGATACGACAGAAGTATAATATTTACTAAATGCAAAGTACTTAAATATGAATGACCAAAACAATCCCACAAATGCCCCAATACAATACAGGCAGTGGATGCTGAACATCAATCCACGTCAAAAGGATTATAGACAGAAAAATGTAAAAATCTGTTTAATCTCAACAGTTGTAATAAATGAAAACAAGGACCAACTAATTTTTGCATGTCATGCCTGCCATGCAGGAAACCCCGGTTCAATTCCTGGGTCTGAGGATCTGCTGGAGGAGGGACAGGCTACCCACCCCAGTATTCTTGGGCTTGCCTTGTGGCTCAGCTGGTAAAGAATCTGCCTGCAATGCAGGAGACCTGGGTTCCATCCCTGGGTTGGGAAGATCCCTTGGAGGAGGGAAAGGCTATTCACTCTAGCATTCTGGCCTGGAGAATGCCCATGGACTGTATAGTTCATGGGGTCACAAAGAGTTGGACATGACTGAGCGACTTTGACTTCACATATGTAAATATGTAAATGAAAAGAATGAAAGTTGTCATTGTTAACAATGGTGAATGGAGAACTTCCCTGGTGGCAAGGTGGATAAGAATCCAGCTGCCAATGCAGGGGACACATGTTCAATTCCTGGTCCAGGAAGATCCCACATGCTGTGGAGCAACTAATCCTGTGCGTCACAACTACTGAGCCTGCGCTCCAGAGCCTGCGAGCTGCAACTACAGAAGCGCATGCAGGTTAGAGCCCGCTCTGCATCAAGCAAAACCACCGCAGTGAGAAGCCTGCGCGCTGCAACAGAGAAAGGCCTGAGCAGCGACCAAGACCCAGTGCGGCCAACAAATAAATAAATTGACAGTAATAAAAATTTTTTTAAAAAAGAGTGGATAGAAACACAAATGCCAGATTCTGTGAGTGCAGACACAAACAGGTTTGCAGCTTCTACATGGAAGACTAAAGCTGTGACTTATTGTCTCATCTGACCCAGTAAGGCCACTGCAAGGTATTTATCCTACAGAACAACGAATTTAGCAAAGATCTGTGTTTAAACACCTAAATGTTTATTGCAGCACCGTTTCTTTGAATGAAAGCTGGGAACTCTCTGTGTGACTTTCTCTGGGGAAATGGCTCAGCTCATGATGCTAAACGCATAGGCTGGGATGCTCCCCGGCTCTTCACTGGTTGTGCAGATCTCTACATAAATGTGCAAAATACATCACATAACTAGTGAAGAATTTTTTTCAACACACATGTGCTCATAATTGCCCGCAATGCAGGAGACCTGGGTTCGATCCCTGGGTCAGGAAGATCCCCTGGAGAAGAGAATGGCTACCCACTCCAGTAGAATACTGCTTGGAGAATTCCATGGACAGAGGAGCCTGGTGGGCTACAGTCCACGGAGTTACAAAGAGTCAGACACAACTGAGCAACTAACACTTACTTATGCTCATAAAAATAAGACAGCCATTCAGAAAAGCTCTGCGCGGGCCAGGAGCCCCGGCCTGTCCTCACCTGGTGGTGCTGCCGGGCCCAGCAGACCGCACCTGGGCCTCCGCTGGCCTCTGTCTTCTTCTTCCTCCTCTGTGTATACCTCTCCTCTCTCCTGATGGTCTCAGGGTCTCAAGAAAACAAACATTGCACAGACATTTTCAGGGCTCCCGACCTGCGCATCAGGCCCGAGTGAGGACTCAGTTCTCTGGGAATTTGTTCAGAGGCCCCAGGAAACAGGAGAAGCCGCTGTCCGTGGACGGACGGGGACTCGCAGATATTCCTATCTCATCCCCACAGCCGCCCCCTGACTGAGCTCCTTCCTTCCTCCTCCGCTTCCCACATCTCTCTGGGCTGCTGCTACGTGACAATATCCCCTCTGCACCAAGGTTAGCGAGTGACAAGAGCGAGAGTCACTTCCCCATAAACAAGAGTGTGGGCTTTGCAACGGCACTGGAGTTCAAACCCCACGTCTTCACAGACGCGCCGTGGGGCCTCCAGCTGCCAGCGTTTTGCTGAGAGCACGGACCCTGCCAGCCCCTGGGGAGCACGCAGGCCGGCAAACCCCACCCTCACGCTGCCCCAGCCAAGGCCCTCCACCCACACGGGGAACTGCAGACCCAAAGCTCTGAATATCTTATTTGGCTTCTTGCAGTCTCAATGCTGCTGCACCCCAGGGCACTGAAAGAAACTTTTTACTTTCTAAAACAGCACAAAACATGCACGTGCTAGCATACAAAATTAATATACAGAAATGTGTATAGATGAACCAATATATAAAGAGCTCACATTTCTCCTAACCTGATGTTGCACTATGTGTAAAACTGCCTTATGTCTTATTCTCATGTCTTGTGTCTGTCTCTGGATTCTCCAACTTGAACGTGAGTTCCTTGAGAGCAAATACTGCCTGTTCATGGTTGTGCCAAGCATGACCTGCCGTCCTGGTTTACCTGAGGCCAAGCAGTTTCCCAGGACCTGGGATTTCAGTGCTAAAACCAGGACAGTTCCGGGCATACCTGGGCAGCTGGTCACTCTAACTGTATCCCCAACCCAAGAGCAATGCCCAGGATGCAGCAGGTGCTCAATAAATAATAACTCTGATCAAATGTTTATTTTCAAGTTTGTTTTTAGAATAAGGGGAGGGGAAAGGGGCCAAAATGCTCCACAGGAGCTCGATAAATAAGTTTTGGCAGGAGAGAGACAAACAGAACCTCAAGGTGACCCCAAGGTGAGAGCTATGCACTAGCCACAGAGATCAATCGGTTCAGACTGAACCCCTTCAGAGATGCAGAGGAGTTTCTGAAAAAAATGGGATCTGAACAATTTGAGAAGGGATTTAGACGACTGGAAGGAATTTTAGGATTGAATGAGTAATAAGAGCACGAAATTTTAAGCAAATGAAATATAAGGCAGCAATCAACTTTAGGGAAGACAAAGAGTGATTCGAGAAAGAAACGGCATCAGAGATCCTAGATGGACCATGTAGAAAGAGCATGTGCACGACCATGAGCATGGAAACACTCAATATTTATGATGAAACTATGCTGGGAGGGTGAGGGGGATGAAGCGTTGGTTAGATGTTGGGAGGTTATACTGCAGTAACGAAATCAATCTCAATGGCCAACAAAAAACAAACAAGCAAAAAATAAGAGTGTCGGTTTGAG